TTCCACCATATTCATCATTATTGTCATGCAAAACACAACTACATCGAATTAAGCTATATTTCACACATTTATTAACAATTATCCATGTTTGGGTCTACAATAAATGTGTAAAAATGCACTTATCACTGGTATGCATGGCTTGGATGTAGTTTATAATTGTCGAGTATGCCCAGAAGGGCCATGGCCTACCCAACGGGACATGGGATGTCCTGTTAGGACATTTTGAAAGAGTTGGAGAATGACTTGAAGAGTGGAGATTGAAATTCCATGTTATGAAATTTGTGTCAAGGTGGAGTTTGTTAGGTTTTGTGACAAAAAATCTACGTGATTTAGAAGTTTGTTGCATGAAGGAAGTTTAAGGTACTTAAGTTTGTAGAGTCTTAAATTGTGGAGATCAAATTTTATTATGGATTTAAAGTTTGGCTTGGACTTGGAGATGAAGTAAAACACTTTGAAACGAAAATAATAATAATAATATTAATTTCAGCAAGCCTAGCGTCGCAGCGCCCGAGCAAGGAGCGACGGCACCCCTGAACGGGGCAGGGAAACCGGCGCTGAGGCACCCCGGTAGCTGATTTTTCTCGTTTTTCGATTTTTATCCGGATTTTAGGACTTCTTCTTCATCTTGGACTCTACCTCATCCACAACTTTGAAATTTGGCTTCTATAAATACTCCACAAGGTAAAGACACTTCAAAAATGTGAAAATGCAAGACTCAAGAGAGATTATAACAATTAGATCATTGTTGTATACATTAGAAACAAAAGAGAATTGTTTAGATTAGATTAAGAGGATCAAGATCTTGTAAGATAATTGTTTGTTTTTTGGAAAAATNAAGAGAGAATTGTTTAGATTAGATTTAGAGGATCAAGATCTTGTAAGATAATTGTTTGTTTTTTGGAAAAATAAATTCTCCCCTTCCATAATTTTCTTGATTGTTGTGTGATCCATTAAATTTCATATTGTCCATATTTCTTGTCTTTAATTACTTGGCCGATTTCTCAACAAGTGATATCAAAACGGAAGCTCTCCATGTCTATGTTTTAAACAAAAGATAATTGAACGTTAGGTAATTGCACCCTGAGTTCTTCACTTCTTCGAAAGTAGTTACTAACCTGTATTTTGACATAATAACAAAATAACATAAGGAAAACTAAATGAACTCTGCCAAGTGAGCAGACCACGAAGGAAATTGTGTCAACAATTATATCGTCAAATGTATCAACAATCTCTCAAACCGCACTTTAATCTCAAGTTGTATGATTACTAACAATTGTATCATCAAAGTTATAGTTGTCGAAAATAATTGCTAACGAAATTTTACAGACACTGGAAAATCCCTAGGTAATTTTTTTTTGGTTTTTATAATTATTTAGAAAAGATCCAAAGGAATTTGCGAAGTAGAATTTATCACAAAACTTGATGGTAATTTTTTTTTTTAAAGCGATAAAACTATCATTGTAAGGTTGTGAGCAATATGATATTTCAAGATAACGAAGACCCCTTAAATACAATTGGAATATTTGTAAGGGTGATGATATATATCGTTTACAAGGCAATAGATGATGATTATCATTTTACCATTCCCAAGGCAATTATTCGTGAGGGTCTCTTGATTTTTATATGAATACTAATTACGATCATAATATATATATATATATATTAATCTAGATTCAAATTTATAAATAAGACTACAACTATGTCGCCAGAGATTTGGCTTAATCTTTTAGTTGATTAGGTCCTCTCACCCTGATATTTGTTAATTGTTTTATGTATCTCATAGTTGTTCGTATTAATTTTAAATTTGATACGTAAATTCCGTCATTCGTGCTAGTTCGAAAACTATATAAACAAATAAAATTGTTACTGATTGTCAAATGTAATTAAGTTTATTGCTAAAACAAAGAGGATACAATATTAGATGTTATTGAATCTTATCAATAGAATGCCCAAAAAGCTTAGAACTGATTGCCATCAACAGATCTCAGACAATACCCTTAAGAAATCTCATCACGAAATATGAAAAAAAACATAGATAGAAACATACAGAAAGACTTGAAAATACTCGAAATGGAAGCAAAATGGTGTTGGTTTTTGCGCATTGGAAGCCAGATGGGACATTCTTTCCACATTAGTTAAGCAACAAGCTCAGGAAAACTGGTACATTAAGGTTAATGCCCAAAACCTTAGCTTTAATGACAGTGCAAAGGCAAACTGCAGCTTCAACATCGGCTAGACCTTGGATAAGGGAGCAACATGGAGTTTTTGGAGGGGTTCCAACAATTACATTCACCAAGCCATTTAACAAGTTGGCACACACTCCTAACTTTAGAGTATCTTCAGGGCACTTTTCCTTTGATGGTGGGTGGGGTTTGTGGCCGTGGCCACCGCTTGGGGTGGCTGGTGGTGGAGGGCACGGAACGGACGTTGAGCTCACCATTGTGAAGAAGAGAATATTGAAGAGAAGAAGTGCAGTTGAAGCAACAACTTTGGAAGCCATTTTAGGGGGGGGGGGTGTAACACAGACACAATGTAAATATGAGAATATGTTTTGGGTTGTGATATGTGAAGCTGGTTGAGCGTATTTATAGTAAAAAATGCGACAGCACTCAAGAAATTTGGGGTATACGCAAGGCCAGTAATGTGTTGGTATAAAAGAGACAC